ATTCATTAAAAATGCATCCCTTTTTTTCTGTACCTCAACAGATAATACAAACAACATAAACTATAGAGGTGACTATATCCAATTTGGCTTTATTTTAATGTCACACCTGTCAGAATGGATATCATCAATAAATCAACAAACAAGTGCTGGCAAGGATATAAAGAAAAGGTAACCCTCACCCACTGTTGGTGGGAATGCAGACTGGTGCAGCCACTGTGGAAAGCAGTATGGAGTTTCCTCAAAAAATTAAAAGTGAAATTACCTATTGTGCCAGCAATCCCACTTCTGAGAATATATCTGAAGAAACCTGAAACACTAATTTGAAAGAGTATATGCACCCCTATGTTCATTGCAGTGTTATTTACAATAGTCAAGATCTGGAAATAGCCCAAGCACCCATAAGTAGATGACTAGATAAAAATGCTATGGTACATTTACTCTATGGAATACTACTCCGCCTTAAAAAAAAAAAAAAGAAGAAGAAGAAGAAGAAGAAGAAAATTTTATCTTTGTAACAACATGGATGGATCTAGAAATTACTATGCTAAGTGAAGTAAGCCAGTCAGAAAAAGACAAACACCATATGATCTCACTTACATGGAATCTAATCAAAATAAGTTTACAAACAACATAAAATAGAAGCATAGGTACAGAGAAAAGACTGACAGCTGTCAGAGGAGAGGGTGGTTGGGAGCCTGAGTTAAAAAAGGTGAAGGGATTAAGCAAAAAATAAATACGCATTTTTTTGACACACAGACATGAACAACATGGTGATAGCCAGAGGGAAAGGGGGGTAGGGGCAGATGGAAGTGGGCAAAGGGGGAATAAATGGGGACAGAAAGCGACTTGACTTTGGGTGGTGAGCACACACACATGCCATATGCAGATGATGTTTTATTGAGTTGTACATTTGAAATCGGTATGTTTTATTAACCAATATCACCCCAATATATTCAATAAAATTAATTAATTAATTAGTAAACTCTCACAGATTTTTGTGTCCATATTGCCTTCTGTTTTATACATACTGACACAACCAGAGTATTCACTTATAATAAGGTTCCAAAACCCATAAATATAATTGTGTAACATAGCTGGGTTTTACACAAAGTTCTAAGTTAACTTAGTAGATATTTAATTCAACTTTGCCTCACAGACAGCCAGTGTTCAAAAAAATAAAATAAAATACATAAATTATAATAAATTTAATCTACAAATCTATAAATTACAATAAATATAATTTAATATGTTCACATTAAGGAGTTAATTGTTGGTTCTTTATATTAAGAATCACTATTAAGAAGGTGTTTCTATATTCTTAATGTGAATAAGGTACTTCTTTGTATATTTGCAGATAACCTTCAAGAAGATAAAATATCCCAAGTTTATGTGGTAGATATAGATGGGTTTAGAATATTGGCTTGAGTTTAATGTGCACTGACTCTAAAACATATACTAAAAGTTGTTTTTTCTTTAAAAAAAAAATCCCAGATATTGAGTTTACTTTTATTTTCTATTCTATTATTCTCTCTTAAAAGTTCATTTAAATTTTCACTTGTTTTAAGTAAACCAAAGTTTATACAATGATATTAATGATAATGATGATTTTCCTTTGACTAAAATCAATCAATATATAAAGCTTCATTCTACAGAGGCTAATGTCAATCGACAAGACATTATATTTAGTTTTTAACTTTGGGTTTTTTATATTATGATGCAAAGTTACTATAATGCAAAAATGGTCACTTACAGGTAGAGTAACTATGGCACACAACTGCAGTTGTATTTGGTGTTCTTGGAATATATGGGTCCAAGAAACAAGAAGCTACTGCTTCCCTGCCAAGAAGTCAAGTTTAATTTGCTTTCTTTTCCCCTCCCTCGTCAACTGGCTGAAGTACAAGTTCCACTGCAAATGCAACAACCAGCAAACACAGATGCCATCATAAATACATAATGCTGCCAAGTAGGAAACCTTACATTGATGAATAACAGAACTCCCCATAGCAACGGGAAGATATTCTGAGCAGCATATTTAAATCTTGAAGCCCTATTATAAATAAAATGCATGCATTCCTTATAACTAAAAAATAAGTTAATTTAAAAAACACTGACATTTACTATTACTCAATGGCTAATTTTTCTGTCTAGTTCATATTCTTAGTGGACTGAGAAATTTTATAAATCTTTCATTCTGAACTTCTGCAATACATAACTGTGATCAAGGAGGCCTTGCTATGCCTTAAATAAAGTTTGCCATACTCAATAAAATAACAAAAACCACAAACCGTTTTCAAACTTTGCTAACAAAATTCATAGTCTGATAAGCTAATTTGGGTGTTTAAGATTTACCAAGAGTGACCCGCCTCCCCAGCATCAGTGGGCCTGAGTACAAAATGTGAAAACAACAAATATTTATAAGCATCCACTATGGAAACAAAATATATTAGATGCTGCAGTGGAACGAAATTGAAGACAAGACTTCTACTCCGCAGGAACTTTTCCCCTAGTTTGTAGGAATCACTTATAAAGGACACTAATAAATCAAAGCAGTATTGCGATAAACACAAAACAAAAAAACTGATCCTTGTGGGACAAGAAACATCATTTGCCCACAATTGCTCTAAGTTCTGACCTCCCCAAAGCAAAAATTCCAAACATTACATATCAACAGATGCAAAAACTAGAAAAGGATCTTTTAGAGCAGAGATGAGATAGAGGCTCAAGACGTCTTCAGCTTTTGTTTTAAGTCCAAAATATGTTGCAATGAATTTATGAACTCTTTCGCCATCACAATCACTATGAAATATCAATGCTAAGGAGTGACATCACCAAGATGGTGGAGTAGGAAACCCCAACCTCTGTTTCCCCACAGAGATCAACAATTAAACAGCTATCCATCAACAAAAACAGCTCTGGGGGAATCGGGAGTCCACGTAAGAAACTTTAGCAACACTGCGGAACAAACAAAAAAACAAACAAACAAAAACAAAACACCTGAGAATAACTGCACAAAAAGGAAAGGACGAACAGTTTCGTTTTGTGTGCGTCATCCCATCCCCCAGGATGGCACTGCTCAGTGCCAAGAGGGAACTCGCCAGCTAGAAAGAGGTTCCCTTGCTGGGAAAAGGAAAGCAGGGTGAGTGATCAGCTTCCCCAGCCTTCCAGGACACTGCACAGAGAATCCACATCGGTTTCACCCTACCCAGAGACCAGCAAGGCTGAGACATATAGAGAAAGCTGGGGACAAAGAAGAAGGGAAGGGACTAGCAGTAGCAACTGCACAGCAGAAATGATTACGGTTCCCAGAGTGGTCCCTCTGCAGAGGACCCTAGCAGTTCTAGCCACTGAGGAAACTAGTACAGCTGCAACAGAACCCCTGCAGATGTCACTGGTTTTCACCCTACAGGTTTTGTTATTTTTTAATTATACCGACTCCAGATGCCTGAATCACTCTCTCCACACCTCTTCCCTCCTTATCAGAGCTTGGGATCTGCACGAACATCCTGCCCTGGCTTCTGCAGCCGCATGATTGTAAGATGCCAGCCTAGATTTCCATGACTGACCCACCACTGTGCACACACTCCAGGCGAGCTCCTTCAGCGTTGTACTTGCACACCTCCAGCCCCACTGCTGTCACCAAACTCCCTGCCTTGTGCACACCCATGGCAAGACTCTGCAGCCACAGGACTGCACACTGACAGCCAGAGACCCTGCAGTTGCCAGTGCACCCACACTTGGCACCAACCCTTGATGTCTGCCCTACCCCCACCACTCTGTGTGTTTCTGAGATCGGCACCTGTCACAATATAGCACCAGCAGCTGGATCCCACAGCCCAGGTGTACACACCAGTGGCTTCAGTCACCAACACTGCCTTCCCTAGTCCCTAGCCACTGGACCTGGAGGTGACACTGAGGAACCAACAACCCTGGTGTCCACTGAAAAGCCCCCACAGTGCTCATCAAGGACCAATAGCTGCCAATGTTATGGACTCCAGCAGCCTGAGTCACAGACACCATGCCCCACCGCCAGGACCCAGAACTGCCATACACACCCACACTGGTACTCGGAACCACTAGACCCGAGCTTACAACATACTGCACTCTGTACCCCCACACACTTGAAGGTCTTTCCTTACTAAAGCCAGTCCATAAACTTTGGAAGGGGTGACTGCTTCTTCAAATGTGTAGACACCTATGCAAAGGTATTGAGAATCACAAAGAATCAGGGAAACATGACATTATCAAAGGAACACAGTAAATTTCCAGTTTCTGATACCAAACAATGGAAACCCAGAAATTGCCCAATAAAGAATTGAAAATAATTGTTCTAAAGATATTCAGAGAGCTACAAGAGAACAGGTAAACAATCAATGACAATACAGGAAAACAATACAAGAGCAAAATGAGAAGTTCAACAAAGAGAAAGAATACACAGGAGAACCAAAAGGAAATTTTAGAACTGAAGAATACAATGAATGCACTGAAGAAGTCAGTAAGAGCTTCAACAGCAGACGGCACCAACCAAGCAGAAGAAACAGTGAGCTCAAAAATATATCACTTGAAACTACCAAGTCAGAGAAACAAAAAGAAAAAAAATGAACAGAAATAAGGAAAGCGTATGGGACACCGTTAAGAGAAAAAACTATGCATCACTGAAGTTCCAGGGGGAGAAAACAAACAAAAAGGGGATAGGAAACTTCAATAAGAAATAATGTCTGAGAACTTTACAAACCTAGAGACAGATTCAGAGATCCAAAATCAGGAAGCTAATAGCTCACTCCACAATTTCTATCCAAAACAATGCTCTACAACATACATTATAATAAAACTGTCTCAAATCAAAGATGAAAGGAGAATTTTAATAGCAGCGAGAAGAAAAAAATTTCTCATACAACAGAATCCCCATAAGGCTATGAGTGGATTTATCTGCAGACCAGGAGAGAATGGGCTGATATATTCAAAGTGCTAAAAGGAAAAAACTGCCAACAAAAATATTTTACCTGGCAAAGTTGTCCTTCAGAAGTGAAGGAGAGATAAATACTTTCCCAACAAACAAAATCTGAGGGAGTTCATCACCACTAGTCTTGCATTATTAGATAGACTGAAAGGTCTTCAAGCTGTAACAAAGGGACACTAATTAGTAACATAAATGTAAAACATACAAGAATGTAGGGGGTGGGGGTGGCAGGGGAGAGGTCAATGGGGGGAAAAAGAGACATCTGTCATACTATATGTAATACTTTAAACAATAAAGAATTTTAAAAAATAAAATAAATAAAATAAAAAGGTTAATCTGGAAAAAAAGACATAAGAATGTATAATATATTGCCAAAGGTTAAGTATACAGTCAGATTCAGCAAACTCTAATAGTGTAATATGATGATTTGTTTACCATTTAACTCCAGGTTACAGGGGGAAAAGTATTAAATAGAATTATAGTTATAACAACTTGTTAATGGATACATAATATAAAAAGATATAAATTGTGATATCAAAAACCTAAAATGTAGAATGGAGGAGTAAAAGGGTAGTTTTCATACATGAACAAAGTTTAGTTATTGGCTTAAAATAGACTGTTATATCTACAAGATGTTTTATGTCAGCCTTAAAATAAACACAAAACAAAAATCTATGCTAGATACAGACAAGATAAAAGGAAGGGAATCTAAGTATATCACTATGGAAAATCATCAACTCACAAAGGACGACAATGAGAAAGGAAGAAAGGAACAAAGGAAGTACAAAAGAGCCAGAAAACAATGTAAAGGATGGCAATATCCTTACCTATCAATAAATTATTTCAATATAGATGGATTAGATTATCCAATCAAATGGCTTAGAGTGGCTGAATGCGTGGGGGAAAAACACACAAGAAAAAACAACAACAAGACCTATGATGCCCAAAAGACCTACTTCAACTTTAAAGACACACACAGGCTCACAGTGAAGGGATAGAAAAAGGTATGTCATGCAAATTGAAACCAAGAGAGCATGGGTAGCTATACTTATATATCAGACAAAATAGACTTTAACAAGAGATCATGAAGGTCATTATGTAATGATAAAGGGGTCAATTTATCGAGAGGATATAACAATTATATGTACCCAACATCAGAGCTACATTAAAAATGGGCAAAGTACTTGAATAGATATTTTTACAAATAAGACATACAAATGGCCCAACAAGTATATAAAAAGGTGCTTAACATAACTTATTGTCAGGAAAATGCCAATCAAAATCACAATGAGATACCATCTTATATGTATTGGAATGACTATCACAAAAAGACCAGAGATAACAACTGCTAGAGAGGGTGTGGTGAAATAGGAACCCTGGTACACTGCTGGTAGGACTACCATGGGAAACAGTACAGAGATTCCTTAACATGAAAAATAGAACTACCACGTGATCCAGCAATCCCACTTCTGGGTGTATATTTAAAGGAAATGAAATTACTATCTTGAAGATCTGCACTCCCATGTTCATTGTGGCAGTATTCATAATAGACAAGACATGGAAACAACCTAAGCGCCCATCGACAGATGATTGGATAAAGAAAGTGTGGTGTATAAATAAAAAATACAAATCAGCCATGAAAATAAAGGAAACCCTGCCATTTATGAGAACCTGGATGAATCTTGAGGGCATTATGTTATTGAAATAAATCAGATACAGAAAAATACTCTATAATCTCACTTATATATAAAATCGAAAAATGTCAAAATCAGAGAAATAGAGGGTAGATTGATGGTTACCAGGGGCTCTGGGTTGGAGGAAATCGCGAGATGTTGGTCAAAGGGCACACATTTTCAACCATAAGTTTAATAAACTCCAAGGTCCTAGAAGTACAGCATGGCAACTATAGTTAACACCACTGTATTATATACTTCAAAATTGGTATGAGAGTAAATATTAAATGTTCTCATAACAACAAAATAGTAATTATATGAGGTAAAAGATGAGTGAGAGTAAATATTAAATGTTCTCATAACAACAAAATGGTAATTATATGAGGTAAAAGATGAGTCAATAGACCCTACTGTGGTATATATTTTGCCATATATGTGTATCAAACACCACACTGTAAACCTGACTTAAACTTACACAATATTATATGTCAATTATATTGCGATCAAACAGAAAAAGAAAAGAAAATGTCAATGCTTTTTAACACCGCCTAGTTAAGGAAGCCTATAATTCTTACATAGTGTTTTCTCAATAAAGATATATTGGTCTATGGATAAATTTTAAAACCTGTTCTTTTGGATTTCCTGCAGCTAAAAAAGCGTATTTCATGTACAACTGAAAAACTATAAGATGCCAAACAAAAGGTTCTTTTCATTCACATTTCATTAGCATTTGAAAAACTTTAACTATTTGCATGTTCAGATCTCTAGCATCAAAGCTTACTCAGTCCTGGCCAGTGTGCCTCATTTGGTTAGAGCTTGAAACCTTACATCAAAAGGTTGTTGGTTTGATTCCTGGTCAGGGCACATACCTAGGCTGCAGGTTAGATTGTGTGCAGGTGGCAACAGATTGATGTTTCACTCTCACATTGATGTTCCTCTCTCTTTCCTTCTAAAATCAATAAAAGTATGTCTTCAGGTGAAGATTTTTTAAAAACCATACTCAATGGCTATGTCTTTTACAATTATATTTTTAAAATTCGTTGAACAGATCAAGATTGTTTGCTGCATGCATGTTTATGTATGCATACAAAGCTCATTATTTATATCTCTTAAATATTCCTATAATTATTTTAGTTGGTAATAACATATTAAAATCAGTTCTAGTGTCACTGAAATCAGGTTTTAAAAATCATAATTCTTGAACTTGATTTGTAAATTGTTAATTCTGGAACTATAAACAAAAAATTCTATCACATATACAGCAATATTAAGAAAGTAGCATATAAAAATAAAGTATATGAAAAAATCCACAATTATATTAGATTGATTTTTATTAAAATATGACTACTTTTTGTAATTTAAAATAACATTAAACTAGCCCACTAGTTTTTATACTTTAAAAATCACAAAACTTACTCTAGGTGGCGTACTTCTATAAGCTTGTGGAAGAAAAAGAATACAATGGAAAAATCAAGCTTTTGTGTTATCTCTAATCAATGATTATTAAACATATGAATTCAAAAATCCACCAATATTTGAGATTTGTTAGTAGAAAATTAAGCTCAAACTTAAAGTTATTAAGCTAAATTAGGATATAATTAATTACAAAATAGTCCATAATGACTCTCTTTAGAGGAGTAAATATTTCCTTGTGAGAAAAACCTTAGAGAAATCTTACGCAGAAAAATGAAATACTTAGTAGTATCCTCCAAAAATGAAAAGAAAAAAATATTGTATTCAACTCTTTTTACATCTTTAACTTATTTTTTTAAAGTCCCTCTCATTCTAAAATTCTAAATCTAGGGTGCCACTGTTGATGCCATTTGTTTGATACCATTTCTATTTCCTGACTGCTATTGGTTTTCTTAAATCAGCGATATATCATGCTATTTGAACTTCTTTTTAGCAAGACAATTATAGTTTTTCTTCAGTCATTTTTATCTGGAACCACCCAACTCTGATAAACCTCAAAGAACTCTAGCCATGTGTATATATTTAGTCAGACTAGTGGGGAGATTGGGGAATTATCAACCAATGGGGCTGTGTTGTCTCTGGTTCTCTCTGTCATACGGAATGTGACATGTATACCAGTAGAGTGAAATTGGATCTAAAATCAGCTGTCCTTCGAGTCCAACCCTTGAAACCCCTGGCTATAGTTACCAATCTGGAGACCTTCAAATTTATTTTAAATTGATGTGATATTATGATATGCATTGTTACCTAGAGTTTTTAAAGAACATGCTCTTTGATAAACCTCAACTTTTTTGTTGATTCCTCTGATACAATCACATTTCACAAAATTGTTACCCATGTTTTCTTTCATGCAATATTTAAGTTACTTAAAAGGGAACTGAATTCACAATTAAATGGAATTATTAGTAGTATTTCTCTCAAGTTGCTTAGGCATAAGCTCAGATTTCTTCAAAGTTACTATCCATTCTCTATTTATAAAGGTTCATTATTACTTGGACGTCTACAAACATGTTTTCATATCAGCGACTTATTTGCCAAATTACTATCTCCAAGTTTATTTTGGTAGCAGCAGTTACATAAGATAGAGAATTTTTCCAGGACCTAAAGAGTTGAAATTAAGTTGTACTTACTTATAATGTTATATTTTCTTACATTAAATAGTAGAGAAACAATTGACCCTATTGGAATTCACTTGTGGCTCAAATGGTTTGTTACAATATATGCTTCAAATTTAACTTTGGGGACACCAAAATCTTTCTAATTATTAATCAGACTTTTATATTAAGAAACAATGAGGACAGAATATAGGACTTGATATTATTCTTGCTTTCTACTATGCCCATTATAATACAAAACTCATACCTTCTATACTCAATGATTACAATTTGGTGCAAAAAAATTATATATATATATACACACACACACACACACATACACACACACACATACATACATGCATACATACACACACACACAGGGGAGAGAGGAGGGAAGAAATGTATATATGAACATTTTCTATATGTGTGCAGACAGATTTTTTCTTTTTAAAAGACTACCAAACTGCCGAACCGGTTTGGCTCAGTGGATAGAGCGTCAGCCTGCGGACTCAAGGGTCCCGGGTTCGATTCCGGTCAAGGGCATGTACCTGGGTTGCGGGCACATCCCTACTGGGGGCTGTGCAGGAGGCAGCTGATCAATCTCTCTCATCGATGTTTCTAACTCTCTATCCCTCTCCCTTCTTCTCTGTAAAAATTCAATAAAATATATTTTAAAAAAAATAAAAAAATAAAAAAAATAAAAGACTACCAAACTACCTACATCTTCCTTCTTTAAAAAATAAAGTTTAAAAAACTACTGAAGGCAACTAATATAAATCAAATAAATTCAGCTGGACTTCTGAGAAAAATAACAGCAACAATTCTACATACAGGGTCTCCCTCAAAAATATATATACGCTTTAACAGATGATAGCTCAATTAATGTTTCATTCTTTTCAGATTTAACCCATTGA